CTGACGCCACCACTTACTAGGGGGACCGCCACCCTGTTCCGCCCCCATTGCAAATTTCACAGCCAGAGCCCCTGTACTCTGGAAGCCTGACACAAAGGTTTTGAGTACAATTGAATCCCTGTTGATTTATTGACTTGAGGAGAAAAAAGTGATTTTCCCTGTGCCTGTCAGATGCACTGTGTCATTAAATCATTCTGTTTCCTGTTGAGGTCAGTTACAAGACGGTGAGTGCGGTATAGAGTGTATCCGGTTTCGGGTTTGCACGCTGGCGTGCGGGACTCCTGATGACTCTTACTTTGCTGTGAACACCGAATGCCCTTCCCGGGGTAAAGCGGTGCTCTCCCTCTGTTCCAGTGGTCGACAACAGTAGCAACTGGGCAGTGTGTGGGAAGAGCTCTGGTGTCCTCTCCATGCCTGTGGTCGCCCAGGCCACTCACCGGGTCCACATGGAGGTGATGCCCCTCTTCGCGGGCTACCTCCCCCTTCCCGACGTCAGGCTGTTTAAATACCTCCCCCATCACTCTGCACACTCCTCACAGCTGGATGCTGGTAAGGACTCTGGGAGATGAAGGGTGCACTCACGGTCGCAGTGAGTGAGAGCTCCATGCGGGGAGGTGGTAACGCCGCCTCGTAGGGACCGGGCTTGCTGATCGGCGGCGTGTGTTTGGTGCTGGTGGGGTTGCAAGCTGCCGGCACCTGCTCCGAAGCCTCCACGGGTCCTCTGAGGGCCCATGCGCTAGATTCTCCTTAAAGGGGCCACCTCACTCATTCTCGTGCTCTGAAGGTCGCGCGGGCGGCTCGCTGCTCCCTGGGGTAGGTAACAGGTCCGAGTCGGTGGGCCGTGTCTCACTTCCTGTACACTTTGCAGACAGCTGGATAGAGAACGACAGCCTGTCGGTGGACAAGCGCGTGGATGAGCAGCTGGACAGCAGCAGCATCCAGAGCAGGGGCAGCGTGCACTCGGCCTCCGGCAGCGAGCCCAAAGGCTTGCCCATGCCGCGGCTGCAGGCGCTGCCGCCCGGCCAGGTCTTCAACTCCAGCACGGGCATGCAGGTCCTGGTCATCCCCAGCAAAGATGACCATGTCCTTGAAGTCAGCGTCACATGACCGTGCCTCGGGTCAGCACACGCCCTAGGCCGGGTGTGAACGCACTTGAAGGGATCCTGGCTTCATTGCTCTCTCCACTGCAGCATTCTAGCACTAACCAGACTTTCGGTGATTCTGCCTGCCCACAGAAACATCGGAGAATTTCAGCGTGTGGCCGGTCGGCTGAGTTACTGCGGTTTTTTTGTGTTGTCCGTGGTGTAAGATGACTTGTTACTCTCATCTCCCCATCCCTGTGTTTGTGCTGGTGTCCTCCGGTGTCCGCCCAGAGCCCCACTCCTTCCATCGCCCCTTCCCTGCTCCCGGAAGATCCGCACTGTGCCCCCTCACCTGGCCGCCTCCCCGTCTGCTGGTTCCGTATGGAGTCCGTGTGCCTTCCAGGGAGACACACGGCAGACCCTGCCATCTTAGTCGTCACACGTGTGTGCCTTCCTGCTCACACGGCTGCCCTCTAGATTCTTGACCAGGTGGATTTGTGAGTCTCTTGGGGGATAAAACACCATTTTTTACCTGAGAGGAGTAGTGCTTTTCTAGACTAACACCCTGTTAGGGCAGCTCAGTGAGGCGGAGGGCTGGGTGGGGAGGGAACAGAACCCTTTCTGTGCCTTGGGGTGTCACACTGGGTGGACCTGGAGCCTCCATTAGCTGGAGCCATCTTAAAGGTACTTTGGGAAGATTAGACCAGGGCCTAAGGGACAACTTGGCATTGAAATAGTTTAGGAACAAATCTTTCTGGAACCCCTATTCCCCATGATGTTGACTGAATGTCAATATGCACTTGAAATGAAATATGTATTTATTTTAATTATCATTATATATGTGGGGGTTGATATGTTGTTTTCTTCTCACCTTTAAAGTCTTGACATGTCATTGTCACTGTATAATCAATATGTTTCTTCTGCACCTTAAGTCCTAGAGATTAAGAGGCTCCATTTCAGGGGAGACTGGTGGGGGGCCCTCTCCGTGTGCTTCTAGTTTGGTTGTGGGAAGGACGAAAGTCTTGGAATATTCTCTGCTGGTCCACTAAAATTGCAGTCATACCATACCAATGGATTAATTTGCTTTCGGTTGTAAATTTAATTGTACATATGGTTGATTTATTATTTTTAAAAGTACAGACTAACTGATGTAATGTTTATGTATAAGTTGCACCAAAAATCAAGGACAAAATAAATGTGTGTTTGTTTTTACTGGTGTGAGAGTCACAGCTTGTAAATAAGTGTTGGGTGTATGCAGCCTTTTCCAGCTCTCCAAAGCAATGTATTTTTGTACATAAGAAATAGAGAACTCTTACTTCCCTGGGAAAGTGTGGTTGGAATCGAGCTGACTGGACTGATGCAAGCGAGTGTAGTCAGGTCCAGCAGAGGGTGCGGCCTCACGGGAACACCCTCAAGCATGTGAGCCCCAGAGGAAAGGAGCCTTTGCAGCGCTGCTGGTCCTGCTGGTCACCTGTGGGAGAGAGGCTGGTGCGGCCGCGTGGCGGGGAGCAGGGGCCAAGGGACAGCTCGGAGAAACTAGAGCAGAGCAGTTGTGTCCACGCTTCTCTGTGTTGTCTTTCCACTCACCCAAAAAATAAGGTGGTGTCATTCTCCCCACCCTGCCCCATGTCTTTACCATTTACAGAAATTGGAAATGTGTAAAGAAGATCAATACTGGTGTGTTTAATTAAACTTTTCAGAAAATGATCTTCCTTAGGTGCACTTTAAAACTAGTAAGTTTATTAGTCAACTAGTTAGGCAAATTAGAACTTCAGAATCTAATGATAGATAGTTTAGGGTTTCTAAAATAAGTTTTGTCTTATTGTAAAAATTGGTGATTGCCCTACAGATCTGCCAAGCCCTGTGAATGAAGAGATCTTTGAGATTTGATTCTGTCGGAAAAGCCTCACACTGTGTATAATGTGGCTTTTCCCTCTCACCCTCTGGAAGGGGGTGGGGGTGTGATTCAATGGTTACCTTACCTCTGTTTGATTTTTTGTTTCTGGGTTCTAATCCCAGGATGAAATTCTCTAGTTACATAATATACTTAGAGGGAAAAAATGAAGGAGAAATCCAAAAGTTCATGGTGGTTTCTTACTGTTTTCAATTTGTATGAAATCAAATTTATTGCAGGTCTGGTCCCCCCCTCCAATTACCCAAAAGATCTTTTGCAATCTAAGTTACATGGGTGCCCCTATTTTATTTTGTTTTGTTCTACACAAAGGAAAAATGTCACCTAAAACTTCATCTTTTTTTTTTTTTAAAGCAGTACTTGGATTTTTGTTGTCTAAAATAAAATAAGGCTTATGTGTTGGAGACAAGCTGGTTTTGTTAATAAAGATGTAGCCCCTGTTAAATAATTGTGAAGCTGGATATAGAATGTGCATCTAAAAAGCAGAATATGCAACCGTTTTACACATATTGTGGAACATGTAAATACTAGCAAATGGAAAAGGAAATAAGTTATAATTTTGGTGAATTTCATGGGGTTTCCTATGATTGGAAAAATTATAACGGCTGATTCTAATGTGGAAATTGTTGTATTAATCTGAAAATGACTTTTACCTACAGTCCGTTGTCAGCACAGCCGGTCGTGGGTTGGATTCCTGTCCTAGTAAGTCTTGGTTGATATCCCATAGTTAGCAGAGACAATACACACAGGCTTCTATTCAGTTTTTCTTTAGTGTTTAAAATAAGATTGAGTTATAAAATCAAATCAAAGAAACACTCCAGATGTGTACATAAAATGAAAAGTTATACTACTTTTTAAAGAACAAACTACGCTGATCTCAATGTTTAGCTGTCAACTGTGATCTTTAAAATAAATCCGTGATTTTGGAATTTGATTTTTCATGGAAGTGCCCCTTTCTCTAAATTTATTCATCATCTATGTCAGGCTACAAGACCCGAGAGTGTGGTTAATACAATTTGCTGGGATTCTGTGACTGGAAAAGGTGGCAAGTTGGTGACTTTGACACTGCAGGTATTAACTCCATTTTCATGGTTTACTATGAGAGTCATTTTTCACATTCTGTAATATATTGTTAGACTAAAACCATTGTATTAAGACTTTAAAATGTAAGCCTTATAATTCTGAAAATACACATTTTAAGAAGAAACTTTGCTGTTTTGAATTTCATTCTTTTGCTGAGGAGCATGAAAGTTGAGTGTGTGAAGTTAAAGAATTTTCCTGTCTTCTCTCCCTAATCCTTGATCCTGACCGATAACACAGATTATTTACTTTGTGGGGAGCATTAGGGATTTTTTCCATAATTCATCAGCCAGTAGCCCGCAGGACAAAGACACTTGTCTTCAGGGCTTGGGGTATTTTTTCGCAGACACAGCTTGACAAACGAACTGTGTGTGTGACGTTTGGTAGCCTCTCTAATGCAATTTCTTCAGCTTCTTCGGCGCGTCCTTGGTTTTACCCGCTCCCCCCGCCCCGCTCACAATGCAGAGCTATTAAGTGAAGGCGAAGCCCGAGCGTCTCACCCACTCGGGGCGTGAACCTTCTGGGCGGCGGCGGCGGCGGCGGCGGCAGCCCCGGCCCTGCTGGGTCAGGCGGGTGCGCGGCCACCGGTGGGGGCGAGGCCCGCGGTCTAGGATCCGTCCCAGGGCGCGGCAGGGGGCGGGCTCGAAGGGCTGGGCTCCGCCTCCGGACGCGGTGGGGGCGTGGCCCGCGGACGCGGTGGGGGCGTGGCCCGCGGGGCTGGGTCCTGCCTCGAGGCGCGGTGGGGGCGAGGCCCACGGTCTGGGCTCCGCCCCAGGGAGGGGTCGTGGGCGTGGCCTGGGTCCTGGGCCCCGCCTCGGGGTGCGGTGGGGGCGGGGTCTGCAGGCTGGGCTCCGCCTCGGGCGGCGCCGCCCCTCCGGGTCTCCTGGGGGCGCTGTGGTGCGCGGTGGCCGCCAGTCCCGGAAGTGCGTCCTTGGGGCCGACGGGCGGGGCGGGGCGGGGCGCGGCGGCTGCGCGGGGGCGCACGTGCGGCGGCCGCGATGAAGTTCGCGTACCGGGTGAGCCCGTGCGGGGCGGGGGTCCGCGGCGCAGGGTCTGGGGAGCGGAGGCGGGTCGGAGGGCGGGGCTTGGCCGCGCGCGCGCCGGGCCGCACTGTCAGCCTGGAGGCCGCGCGGCTGGCCTCGGGGCCGTGCGCGGCGATCCCCGGGCGGCAAGGGGAGGGCCCCGGGCCCCGGGCCCCGGGCGTCAGGCGTGGGCGGGAGAGAACGGAGCCCCGGCGGGTGACCGGCGGCGGGCCCGCGCGGGCTTCAGGCCCCGTTCCCGGCTCCATGCCGGGGAGCCTGCCTTCATCTTCCTCGGCGGGCAGGTCCCCCGGCCGCCCGCGGGCGGGACGCTGGAGGTTGCCGCCGCGTCCCTGTCCCTGCTGTCCCCGGCTCGGTGTGGCGCTGGCCACAGTGCGGGCCTTCTCCAGCGCCACCCGCACTTCCCCCGAGACCCACACCTGCAGCGCGGGGTGGCCGCCCTCCGCCCTCCGCCCTCCCGTATCCGGCTCCTCTCCGTCCCGGGGCCACCTGCCTGTTCGGGACGCCGTCACCTGGCTCTCTCCCTGCTTCCCCTGTTGTCCCCACGGTCATTACCACGGTCTGAAAACGCGGGAATCGATCACAGCAGGCCGCTGCTCGCAGCCTTGTCAGCTGGCCAGGCTTCTCCCCGTGCCCTCCTGCAGCTCCAGACGCTGGCCCTGCCCACTCCTTCCTCCAGGGTCCGGCCTGGGAGGCCCTCCAGGGGTCTGTCCCTGACCCACCTCCGAACCAGCGCCCTTCTCGTGCAGTCTTCCGAGCACTGCACACACTCCGTAATTAGCTCTTCCCTGCCCTGCCTGCCCTGTGTAGAATAGGAGGGCACCGAGGGCACAGACCCTGGGCACAGTGACCTCTCTAGTGCACCCTTCAGTCTGATGACTGAACGAACCGATGAATCCATGGAGTGGACTCCGGCAGTTACTTTGTTGGGGAGGCGTTGAGCCCAAGATGCTGGGGGAGTGCTGTTCTTTGCTGCAGGTGTTCTCCCTCTGCAACGTGGGTCCCCTTCTGTGTATGGAAGCCCCCCAGATGCTCACAGTGGCCCTCACCCTCTTCTTCGGGGGCTTGGAGCCCCTGGGGATTGGGCCCACTTACCCTTTTTCTCTCTCACTCCAGCCTGGGCTGCATAGGTGGCCAGGAAGTCTCCCAGGAGGGACCCCAGGAATGGCCAGGGGCCTGAGAGGAGGGGGCTCTGTGCCGTCTCCTGGACCAGAGGCCTCACTTAGCCTTTCCTGGAGTTGAGACATTTTGGGCTTTCGTTGTATTAAGATGGATTATTTCCTTTTCAGTTCTCAAATTTGCTGGGGACGGTCTATCGGTGTGGAAATTTGAATTTTACGTGCGATGGAAATTCAGTGATCAGTCCTGTGGGAAATAGAGTCACTGTATTTGACCTTAAAAAGTAAGTGTGTTGAGACGACTAACAGGAGTGTGTTATAGTCGCTGTTACTGTTACAGCGTGTGGGCAAACGCTGACCTGTCTCCCTCCTCTTCCCCTTCCTAGTGCCCCCCTCCACTTCCCCGTTACTTAGAGCAGCCGGGTCAGTAGTGGGACTGGTTTGCTCTAGTCCCTTGGCTAAGCCCTGGGGTCTCGGTCACCTAGGTACTGGGTCTGGAGGCTGCCCTGGACCCCCACTGGGCCACCGCGGTGCTCAGTGCAGCCCAGTTCTGCTTGCCCGTTTCGCTCTCCTCCCAGACGAGCCTGTGGCTCTGTTCCTTTCTCCTCAAGGGGCAGGACTCCTGAACGGTTGTCACCCCTTCCCAGAGTCACGTGGCCAGGGTGAGAACCTCCTGTCGCCGTGGCTGCCTGGATTTGCGTCCTGCTCTGCAGGTTCTGCCTCCGTGTCTGTACAGTGGGACAATGGGCCCCATCCTCTCCGGGACTTATTTCCTGAAGCTCCCGAGAGCAGTGCCTGGGTGGGGTACCCTGGGCCAGCAGGCGAGATTGTCACGGGCCTGGAGTAAGGACCACACGCTCCGTGAAGGAAAACTAGGAAGTAAAATAATAAGGAACAAAGTCAGAATCCGAGCCAACGGTTGCTTGTTTTTCATATTACTTATTTTCCCATTTTTGCGCATTTTCCCATCTCGTAAGGACAGTTTTACAGGGTTGTGCAGTTCTTATGGTTAATTCCTCCTGTTGAACATTTAGCTCATTTTCAGTGGGGACTTCGTAACATTTGTGGAATCCTCTTGGGACGCACTTCTACAACAAAATGGACAACCAAAGCCCCCCCTTTTATTTACTTTTTTTGTGTGAGAGAGCGTGTGTGCACATGCGTGTGGGCGGGGGCAGAGGGAGAAGGAGAGAGAACCTCAAGCAGACTCCTCACTGAGCATGGAGCCTGACCCAGGGCTCCATTCCATGACCCGGAGTTCACAACTTGAGCCAAAATCAAAAGTCGGACACTCAACCGACTGAGCCACCAGACGCCGCAAACCAAAGCCCATTTTTAAGGTTTTGAATATGCTTTGCCAAATTTTCTCCAGGGACCTGGTCTTATTTCCTCTTCTCCAGCAGGGAGCTGGGGACGAGCTGTGTGCTCTGGCCCTGGAGCTGGCCAGGGACAGAAGGCGGGTAAGGGGTTGGTGGCCCGAGGCCGCCCCTTCCTCGTCTTACGACTGTGACCAGCTACACAGCTGTGGTTTTTGTCTTTTAGCAACAAATCCAACACTCTGCCCTTGGCTACTCGGTACAACATCAGGTGTGTAGGGCTGTCCCCAGACGGCCGCCTGGCCATCATCGTCGATGAAGGTAGGCACCCTCGACCGGGAGGCTGCAGTGCAAACAGCTGGGGGGACAGGCAGGGCAGGGGTTATGGTGACTCAAGGCCAACACCAAGTCCCTCTGGGGATCTAGGCCCCCCAGTCCTCTCCCCCAGTTGCTTCCTTGCCTGGGACCCTAGTGGGCTTTGGGGTGAGGGCATGTGTGGCGGATGTGGACGTGCCCGGCTGTGGTGCCGGGCTGGGCCGTGGCCGTCCTGTCTGGGGCGACTACACATTGGCCTCTCTCCCTCGCTGCAGGGGGGGACGCGCTGCTGGTCAGCTTGGTGTGCAGGTCCGTGCTTCACCACTTTCACTTCAAGGGCTCGGTGCACAGTGTCTCCTTCTCTCCTGATGGCAGGTAGGGGCCTGGAGCTTGGGGCAGGGCGCTGTCCGAGCCCAAGCTCCACGATGGGCGCAGCAGGGCTCGGGGGCTCTTCCGAGCGGAGGTGTGGGCGACGGAGTCTGTGCTCATGCCCTCTCTGGGCTGGGGACAGTCTGTTGGTTGGACTCTGGGCTCCTGCAGGCCCACGTGGCTGCAACCTCTGCTCCCCTCCGCTGGGGCTGGTGCTCCCGTCTTGAGTGGGAGCTTCTAAAGGTTCTCGACCAAAACCGCTTCCAGAACAGTCAGGGTCCTTAGAGGGTCTTGTGGCCTCCAGACAGCAGAGCCACAAAGGAGCCCCTGGCTCGGAGTGGCACTGACCCCCAGCTTTGAGGTCCACAGTGAGGAGAATGTGTGCGGACGCGGTCCTGACTGGACCCAGCCTTGCTTCGGGTTCAAGGGCCCCAGGAAAGAGGGGGGCTTGTTCCTGGGTTGCTCATACCCAGGCTGACCTGGATGTGCCATGGAGGGGGCGGCTCTGGGTTTCAGCTGTGAGCCCCCATCCCACGTCCAGCCTCAGAAACCCCATAGAAGGCAGTGGCCATCCTCTGCGCCCGTTGTGTGGAACCTGTGTTGTCCTTCCAGCTCCCCCAGGGCTGTCCAAGTGGGGCCTGGCCTTGACGGCTGTCCCCCAGGCTGGCGGGAGTGCCAGGGGCGTCTGAGCTCCATGGCAGTGGGGCGGCTGGGTTCAGGGTCCCTGCAGGAAAAGACGGGGGTTGGGGGCCATGGAGAGGCTGGCCCCCACGTTCGCCTCTCATAGGAAGCTGCTCCCGGCAGGGGCGCTGTCCTCAGAGGCTCTGAGCTGGTCTTGGGACTGCGCGGGTGTTGGATCCTGATGGCCCCCGTTTCTGCGGCAGGAAGTTTGTCGTCACAAAAGGCAACATCGCTCAGATGTACCATGCCCCTGGGAGGAAGCGGGAATTCAACGCGTTCGTCCTGGACAAAACCTACTTTGGGCCGTACGATGAGACCACGTGCATCGACTGGACTGACGACTCCAGGTAAGGCCCGGAGGCGGGGCCGGGGGGGAACCCCTGTAACCAGCCTCTTGTTGGATGGGGAGCCTTGGAAATTCTTGTCGAATCCCAAAGTTGCCTTTTGTGGTGGTCTCTCTTGAGCGTCCTGTGGGGCTGGAGGCCATTTGGGCTCCTGGTTGTGAGTTGGGCCTGCACCAGCCTGGCATCTGTCGTGGGAAACCAGAGCGCGGGGTCGGGAGCTTGACGAGGGTGCTAGAATCCATTCCGCCAAATGTCCAGAGCAGCTGTGTCCGTTGGGGGGTGGGGGCTTCTCCCAGCAGGGGGGCCGGCCCCGTCCTCTTACGGCTGCACCCCTCACCGCCCTGAAAGGCTGCTGGCTCGTGCTCAGCTGCCCACAGTCTGCGCAGGGAGAGGTGGGGGCTGGTGGTCGGTGCGGGTTTGTACAGCGGACCACCCCGGGGGCGGGGGTGGGGTGCCCTGCCGCCAAACCTTCCCGCCTCTTCAGCGAGGCGCCACCTATTCCTGTGTCTGGCCGTGTTTGTGCCGTAAGCAGGGTTCCCTCAGGGGTCATAGGGAATCAGGGAGGCGTGAGGAGCAGGGCTCCCCATGTGGCACCGATGGGCTTGGCGGTCGGCTCTCAGGGCTCCCCTGGGCTGCCGTCCCGTGAGGGACTGCTTTGTGAGGAGGGGTAGTGACTCATTCCCTGAGCAACATGGATGGATGCAGCCGACGCTCTGCGGGAGATGCAGGCCGGGCAGACCCGGGCTGGTCCAACCCTGGGCGACTCCCGTGTGCTTGGCTGGCACTCCACCGTGAGCCCTGAGGACGCTCCCTGTCTTCTCTGCCAGGTGCTTTGCAGTCGGGAGCAAAGACATGTCCACGTGGGTGTTTGGAGCTGAGCGCTGGGACAACCTCATCTACTACGCGCTGGGGGGACACAAGGACGTGATCGTGGCCTGCTTCTTTGAATCCAGCAGCCTAGACGTATGTCCCTGTGTCTGCAGCATCTCGCCTGCCCGGTGGCATCCCAGATCGCAGCCACGCGCCAGGCCTCCCCCTGTAGACACAGGCGCCCTCCCAAGTTACCTGGGGGTGTTTAGGAAGCAGCGGCAGCTGTTGGCTGTCCCTTGGGCATCGCCTCTGCCAGCGCTCGGGGCAGGCTGTGGTGGGACGGGGGAAGCTAAGACCGTGGGTCGGCCGCGTGGCTGGTGGGGGCTGGTGTCACGGTGACCCGCCCCCAGTCGCAGACACTTTCTTTTACAGCTGTACACGCTCAGCCAGGACGGAGCCCTGTGTGTGTGGCAGTGTGACACGCCCCCCGAGGGCCTGCGGCTGAAAGCGCCCACGGGCTGGAAGGCGGAGCTGCTGCAGGGGGCCGAGGAGGAGGAGGAGGAGGAGGAGGAGGAGACCACCGTCCGGGGGAAAGCCACGCCGGCTGCCGAGGAGCAGCAGGGAAAAGTGAAATACTCTCGGCTGGCCAAGTAGGTGTCCCCCCGGGGGGTGGCGGGGCCTCGCACCCTCGAGGCTAACGTGACGCGGAGGCACAGAGAGCAGGCCCGTCCTGGGGGGCAGGCTGGGAGACCGCCTCACGTCCCAGGTGCAGGGTCATGGAGGCCCGGGGTGGGGCGACGGGGGATTCCTCGGGCGAGAGGGAATGAGAGGCCAGGGCAGCAGGGCCGCGGGTCCTGTGTAGAGCCGGGGCCCGTGGCCTATGGCCTGGGGGTCCCGGGGGGGCTGGGTGCAGGCTGAGATCAGCCTGGCTGTCTGGCGCTCTGTCCACAGCTCTTCTGATTTCCCACCTGCTTAGGTACTTTTTCAATAAAGAGGGAGATTTTAACAACCTGACAGCCGCGGCGTTTCACAAGAAGACCCACCTCTTGGTCACTGGCTTTGCCTCTGGGATCTTCCACCTTCACGAGCTCCCCGAGTTCAACCTCATCCACTCCCTGAGGTGAGCGCCCCACCCGGTGCCGGGGGGGCCCGCGTGTGCTCGCTGACCCCACAGGCCGATGGCGGGCAGTGTTGGGCTGCGCCGTGTGTGTCCCGCTGCGGGGTGAGGGCCGTGGAACGGCCAGGCGGGTGGTGGACAGAGGGGCTCGCGGTGCCGCCGGCCCGCCTTTCAGACGGCGTGCTCTCCCGCGCAGCATCTCTGATCAGAGGATCGCTTCCATCGCTGTCAACGGCTCCGGAGACTGGATTGCTTTTGGCTGCTCAGGTTCGTCTCAGCGCGGGGTCATAGGAGAACGAGAATAGAGCTGCTCTCCGACCGCTGACCGTGGGCCCCCCTGGCCCGCCAGCTCCCGGGAGAAGCCCCTCCCACGGCCCGGTGCGAGCAAGCACAGTGGGTCCTGTGGGAGGGAGCCGTGGGCGTGCAGAACCGGCGCTCCTCTGAGGTGCGACCGCCTTGTAGCCTGAGCCCCTGGCTCGGTCGGCCGCGGGGCCTGTGCTCTGGGCCTCTGGGGGCCGCAGCAGGTGCCTGCGGGACCGTGACTCGGGAGGTCGGAGTCTGGGGGGTGCCCGCTCCCAGGGTGGTGGGGGCGCTGGCCTTGCGGGGTCTGAGGCCAGGGTGCCATTGCCCCGTGTGCCCTGCAGGCCTGGGCCAGCTGCTGGTGTGGGAGTGGCAGAGTGAGTCCTACGTGCTCAAGCAGCAGGGCCATTTCCACAGCATGGCGTCCCTGGCCTACTCCCCCGACGGGCAGTGCATCGTCACCGGCAGTGACGACGGCAAGGTGGGGCTCGGCGGGCGGCAAGGGCTGGGGCCTGGGCTGGCGGGGGGGGGGCACAGCGTGTCGTCCTGCTGCGCCCCAGGGAGGGAGAGCCAGGCCCCGACTCCGGGGTTCCGCCTGGGGCCCACGGGCTCACCCTGCTGCGTCTGGGCTCGTGAGAAGATGTTCACAGACTACCTGGAGCTGGGTGGGGAGGGCGGGCCGTCGGTTTCTCTGTTCCCGGTTTGGCCTGCATGCATGCAGCCGCTCGGCTGTGGGTTGGTGCGTGGGGGCAGCCGCGTCCTGTGGGCGCGTGTTTGCTGCGCCTTGCGGTATCCCAGCTGGTGAGGGGCTGGCGGGGCCCTGGGGCTGAGGGGCAGGTGCGTGCACGTCTGGGGGGGGGCCCTGGTTGGGGCGACCTGTGTGTGCACGCGCGTGCGTGCGCGCCTTCCTGAGCTGTGGCCAGCCCCGCTCCTCATGCCCTTCCCGCTGCAGGTCAAGGTGTGGAACACCCTCAGCGGGTTCTGCTTCGTCACGTTCACGGAGCACTCGAGTGGGGTCACCGGCGTGACTTTCACGGCCACTGGCTATGTCATTGTGAGCTCTTCCATGGACGGGACTGTGCGTGCTTTTGACCTTCACAGGTGACCTTCCCACTCAGTCCTCTGGGTGGGCCTGGATAGTGGGGCTGAGGGGTCGTGGGCTTGCCAGGAAGCACGTGGTATAGACAGGCTCAGGGCAAGCCCGAGCCCTCGGGGCTTTGTGAGCTGTGCCAGCCAGACTGCTGTCTTCGGGCAGGTACCGGAACTTCCGCACCTTCACGTCCCCGCGGCCCACCCAGTTCTCCTGCGTGGCTGTGGACTGCAGCGGGGAGGTCGTTTCTGCCGGCGCCCAGGACTCCTTCGAGGTCTTCATCTGGTCCATGCAGACAGGCAGGCTCCTGGACGTAAGGGCTGCGTGTTGGGAGCTGGGGGGGGCACAGCCCCACGCGGGAGGGCACCTCTGCGGACCCGAGGGGCCGAGCAGCAGCGTGTTGTGGCCGCAGCTCCTCCTCTCCTGCGCTGACAGACCCCTGTCAGCCCGCCCGTCCCGCAGCCTCGGTGCGCGGGCCTAGTACGCGCACGGTCCCCGAGGCTGTCTCTTCACACCTCTCTCTGGGCGCCGTAGGTCCTGTCTGGTCACGAGGGCCCCATCAGCAGTCTGTGCTTTAACCCCGTGAGGTCGGTTCTGGCCAGTGCCTCCTGGGACAGGACTGTGCGCCTGTGGGACATGGCGGACAGCTGGAGGACCACGGAGACGCTGGGCCTGACCTCGGACGGTGGGTGCACGGGGGACGCGGGTACAAGGTGTCACCCGGGGAGGGAGCCTCATCCACCCACCTTGGTGGCCCTGTTCTGTCTCTCGGCGTCGGGCTTCTCTCCAGGAGAGCGAGCCGGGCGCTCCCTCCTGAGCCGCCGTCCCTGAGGAGCAGCCGGTGCTCTGTCAGGCCGAGCCTTGGGGAGGACCCCGAGGCGACTGTAGGCGCAGGAGGCCACCTGGGGTCCCAGCATCTGTGTGTGTGGGTGAAGCCGTCCTGCCCCGCACGCCTCACGGGTGGTTCATGGGCCCCTGGGGTCCGCGGGCCTCCACGGTGTCGCTGCTTGTCCGCCCCACCCGGCTCTGGGACGTGCTTTTAGCAGCCAGTGGACGGCCTGGGTCTCTGTGGGGCCTCTAGCTAGTCGGTTTCTAGTCTGTTCTGCGGCTCTGTCAGAAGCACCTCTCGTGACCTCTGGGTGCCTCCCCCCTGCCCGGCCTTGTCTCTCGCCCATGCCCTCCCAGCAGGCTGGCTTTGTGCCTGTCCCGGGACCCCACCTGGACCCTCTTGCCCCCGCCCCCCCCCCTCCGAGGTGGCTGGGGCCTGGGGGTGGAGCTTCTCTGGGGAGAGCCGGGGGCCCCCACCCGTCGGGCGCTAACTCGGGGTGCTGGGGCCTGCCTGGCTTTTCTGGCTTGAGGTTGGGTGAGGGCACGGGGGGCGCGGCCGCCTGCTGGAGCCTCGGCTCTTCCTCTGGCCCTGATGACGCGTCTCTTTTCAGCTCTGGCTGTGACCTTTCGCCCTGACGGTGCGGAGCTGGCTGTGGCCACCCTGAACTCCCAGATCACCTTTTGGGACCCTGAGAACGCCGTGCAGACAGGTTCCATCGAGGGCAGGCATGACCTCAAGACGGGCAGGAAGGAGCTGGATAAGGTCACCGCCAAGCATTCAGCCAAGGGGAAGTGAGTGCGTCAGCGAGCGGGTGCGGTGGGTCCTGCCCCGAAGCCTGGGGGCCTGTGCGGTCACGGGGCTCTTCCCCCGGGGGGGGCACGGAGCCTGCATCGGGTGTGATTAGTCGGCCTCTGTGTCCTCACGCCACTTGGGCTTCGGGAGCGGGTAGGGACCAGCGTCTGTGAGCACATCTGTCCTCACGTCTTTCGGGGTGTGTGTGTCTTGGAGGTTCCAGGGTTCGCTTCTGTGAGGAACTGGAGCGTTTTTCAAAGTGGCTGCGCCACCCGCAGGGGCTGCTTCCCCACACACCAGCAAGACCCGTTCCTGCGTGGCGTTTAAACGACAGCCCTCTGGGGCCGGGTGTGAGGCGCTGTGTGTGCGAGGTTCTGCCTCGGTTCCTGAAGGCTGGGGCCGTCCGGCGTCTTCTCGTTCGCACGCGGGGTCTGGAGAAGGTCCTTCCGGGGCATCTGCTCCCGGAATTGGCTTGTCTTTACTGCGGTGTCATGAGAGTTCATGTATTCGAGATGGGCGAGGCTCGACAGATCTGGGGGTGGAAATCCCTCTTTCTGCCCTGAGGGCTCCTTTCATTGTCGACGGCGTCTTTGGAGCATGAACGTGTTCAGATTTGATGAAGTCTTGTTTGGTTTCCTTCTGCTGTTCACGCTCTTTGTTGTCGCACGTAACGCTGTCACACATCCCGTGAGCAGCCGGGCCAGTGTGTGCCCAGCTTCTGCTCGCAGGGGGCCGAGCCGGCACCCCTGCCAGGGGCCACTGTGCACGTGGCAGGCGAGGTGGCCTCCTTGTCCTTCTGGCTTTGACAAGGAAATCCTGCCCCTTGAGCCACGTGGGCCTCCCGTGAAAGGGTCGTGTCTCTGGGGAGGTCCCTCCTGGGGGTGGTGTGGCCGTGGAGCAGAGCAGGTGACAGCGTCTTGTGAGGCCCGGGCCAGAGCCCTGCCGAGGATGCTGGGGGCGCTGTTTGCCTTCTGCGGCTCGGGGGGAGCACCGCACGTCGGGGGGCTCTGGGTGGTGACTACCCTCGTGTCCTCTCTGCTTCAGGGCCTTCACCACTTTGTGCTACTCTGCGGACGGCCAGAGCGTCCTGGCGGGAGGGATGTCCAAGTTCGTGTGCATCTATCATGTCAAGGAGCAGATCCTCAGGAAGAAGTTTGAGATCTCCTGCAACCTCTCCCTGGACGCCATGGAGGTGAGGGAACACGCAGGTCTGCCTGGCCTGGCCCTGCCCTCCACGCACCCCGGCCCCGCTGCAGGGCGAGGCCTGTCCCCTCCTGAGTGACTCCGGGGGCACGCGTGCTCGCTGCTTCCCTGAGGACGGGCAGGCTAAGCGAGCAGACGCCCCCGGGTATGCCGGCCCCGCAGAGGCTCACGAGGGCCCTTGCGAGGGCTGCATCAGAGTCCGAGCCCCCTGGAGGCGGCAGCGGGGCCCGAGCCCGCCTGCAGCAGGCTCTGAGGGCAGGTTCCTTCTCGCACGGGGTGAGGACGGGCTTGTCGCTGTCTCGGGATCCGCGTGTCCCGTGGGTGTTTCTTCTCCGGTGTTTGTGGCACGTGAGCCAAGCAGGGGCTGGGGGCCGGGCTCATGCCCTCCACCTGATGGGCGGGACACCTGGGATTTTGTCCTTCTAGGAGTTTTTGAACCGAAGGAAAATGACGGAGTTTGGCAACCTGGCGCTAATCGATGAAGATGCTGGGGTGGAGGATGGAGTTGTGATACCACTGCCGGGTGTAAAGAAAGGTGAGCGGAGGGCCCCTCGTGTCCCCCAAGGCCCCAGCCGCAGCAGGCCGCCCTGCCCACCACCCACTTTTCCTGGGTGACAGCGGCTTTGCTCTCCTATTGGGGCCACGGTGATTGTGTCCGGGAGCTCTTGTTCCACACGGGTGGCCCGCGGCCCCCTTGCCTGTCTGGGCCTGTGGCTTTGCTTTCTGGCCGCTGCCCAACCCTGTGCCTCGCGCTCACCCCCACATGGGCCACAAGGAGGGTTCCAAGGTCAGGGAGCTGGCAGTCGAGGAGGCCCAAGTGGGGCACACCCCTCACGGGGACAGGGCAAGAAACAGGGAGCCCTTGGGCCCTGGTAGACCGTCAGGAGAGGACATCCGCCAGCTAGAAAGTCGGTGTGCGGGCCCTGGACACGCAGCTGCCTTGCCCTGTCCGCCTTCCCCGATGCCGGCCTCCCCACCCCCCGACGGTGCCGGCCTCCCTGCTGGTGCCGGCCTGGGCCAGCCTCTTCTAGCCCTGGCTCATGCCACTCCGAGTGCCCAGGAGCCCAGCCTGCATGTGGGGGAGCGGGGGCACCTCAGCGACCAGCTGGGTGATGGGGGGAGGACTGCACCATCGATGCGGGCCTGGAGCAGCTCCTGCTTGTGCCACATGTGTTCTCGGGCATCTCTTAATGAAAACAGGTCCCTAACTCCTCAGTGATGTGCAGAGGTGGTTCTCAGCCTGTCTGGAGACATTTTGATGGTCACAGTTTGAGCAGAGCAGGTGCTGTGGGCGTTGAGTGTGGGGAGACCAGGGGGTCTGTTGGACCCATGAGGACGCAGCCCCAAAGTGTTGGTCATCCTGAGGTCGAGAGCCCCCAGCAGAGTATTTCTGAGGAGATAGGTGGTTTCCAGAGAGGAGCCCGACTTTTCTCAGATGATTTGCGTGTCACTGAGTTTCATACTACAGGAAAGTATCATTCTTTAAGCAGCAGATATGAAAATAAATTTGCAGGAGGGATTCACATGATGCCCAGTGAGGATGAGCCTCCACTGCACAGAGCTGCCTTGTGCAGTTGCGTGATTTGTGCACTGCACAAAGTGCTGGGCAAAATGGGCAGGTGGGGATTGGAGCCACCCTGCCTCACAGCCCCGGGGCTGGGCTGAGGCCTTTGCCAGATGTCTGCTGGCCAAGCTGAGTGGACGCTCCTGGGAGCAGGGGCTCCGAGGGCTCATCTGTGGAGGCCTGCGGTGCCCAGGAAGCAGCTGCTGGGGCCCTGGGCCAGGACTCATCTGCTGCATGTGCAGACAGAGTGGGAAGGCTAGGGGGCAGGGCCGCTGCTCTTGACGGGCCCAGAGCAGCAAGGGGGCCCTCCTCTTGTCCGGTGAGTGGTAAGGGAGGTGCCGCCCTGTTTTCCAGGTGACATGAGCTCTCGGCACTTCAAGCCTGAAATCAGGGTGACGTCACTTCGCTTCTCTCCCACCGGTGAGCCCCGAGCAGCAGGTTGTTGGTGCTGGGAAGGGTGGGGGTCAGTCCTGCTGGGCTTCTGGGCCCAGGGTGCACACCGTGGGCCCGTCACCTCTGCTCTCAGGGACAAGGTTGGGCAGAGCTTCTGGCTGGCCCTGGGTCCTGCTGTTCTTCCAGAGGACACTGAAGGGGGTGGCCTCAGTCCCGCTGGGCGTTGAAACGGGGAGGCGGGCACCCGCCCTGAGCACCACTCAGGTGTGCAGTCGTCGGAGGGGCCGCAGGGGAGGGTCTGTGCCCATGGGGCCTGGGACCATTAGGTAAATGCGGTCCCGCGGGGCAAGCAGGACAGAGGCTGGTGGTGGGCTTGTCTGCGGGGTGATGGCTGGCCCTCCCCCGCATCGAGCGAGTGACGGGAGCAGCAGGCCGCAGTGTCTGGCCATGTGCTGCTGTGCGAGCCGGGCTGCAGACCGTGGCCGGGGACGACTGCGGCAGCCCCTCGTTCGGGCGCCTGCGGATTTCCGGACCGCCGTGCTCGTTGTGCGTCTTCCCTGGGCCCCGCGGTGCCGCTGCAGCGTCTCGGCAGAGGCCACGTGGCCCGCAGAGACGAGTGTGCGCCCTCACGGAGGAGCTGACCGGGGCTGGTGCAGGCAGACGGCGTGGAGCGTGCACGGGCGTGTCTGCTCCCTCCAGCGACCCGGCGCCCCTCCCAGAGGAGCCGGCGGCTGGGGCGGGAGTGGGAGGAAGGCATCCCCGGGCACCTTTCCTGCTATCGCGCTTGGGGTCACGAGGACATACCCGGTACCTGTTCTTTAAAAAAGTGGGGAAAAGGGCACCTGGGTGGCTCAGTTGGTTAAGCGACTGCCTTCGGCTCAGGTCATGATCCTGGAGTCCCGGGATCGAGTCCCGCATCGGGCTCCCTGCTCGGCGGGGAGTCTGCTTCTCCCTCTGACCCTCTTCCCTCTCGTGCTGTCTCTCATTCTCTCTCTCAAATAAATAAATAAAATCTTTAAAAAAAAAAAAAAAAGTGGGGAAAAGTGAAAATCGGTGTTTAGGAAGGCCCTCGACGGCTTGGTTTCCCAGGGCGCTGCTGGGCGGCCACCACCACCGAGGGGCTCGTCGTCTACTCCCTGGACACCCAGATGCTGTTTGACCCGTTTGAGTTGGACACCGGCGTCACCCCTGTGCGGATTCGGGCGGCCCTGCGCCAGCAGGACTACACCAGGGCCATCCTCCTGGCCTTCCGGCTCAACGAGAGAAAGCTGCTGCAGGAGGTGCTGGAGTCGGTGCCCTGGGACGAGGGTGAGCGCCGGGACAGGGCCCAGGAGGGGCCGTGAGCACCCGCATCTGTGCCTGGCGGCTAGGGTCTTGGGTCCCTGCAGAGCTGTCCTCACTTTTTCTCCTGATGGGAGAGTTCTCTGCAAAGTGAGCCCAGTTTTCTCCTTTTCCCACAGTTGAAGTTGTCAGCTCCTCGCTTCCTGAGTTGTACGTGGAAAAAGTGCTGGAGTTCTTAGCTTCATCCTTTGAAGTGTCTCGCCACCTGGAATTCTACCTCATATGGACTCAGAAATTGCTTCTGGTGCACGGGCAGAAGCTGAAGTCCAGGTAAGATGCGCTTCCCTGCGCGGTTGGCTGTGAGTCCTGCCGCTCGGCTGGGCTGTGTAGGTCAGAGGGGGAGCTGTGTGCACGCCCATGAGAGGGGCTGCGTGGCGTTTGGCTGAGGCTGTGCACTGAGGCGGGTCTCCTTTGCAGAGTGGGGAAGGTGCTGCCAGCCGTTCAGTTCCTTCAGAAGAGCATCCAGCGGCACTTGGACGACGTCTCCAAGCTGTACGTGTTGCCGGCATGGTTGGTGGGCAGGGCCGGGGTGGCCCCATCCCCAGCTGGTTCCACACGGGGGGCTGCCCCACGGTGGGACTCGAGGTGGGCCAGCTTCAGGCGTGGCTGGGAGTTGAAAAGAGAGTGCTGTCCCAGTGAAAGCAGTGGGCAGAGAGAGCCTAGGGTGTCTGGGCTGTCTTCGGGGCCCGTGTCCAGGTGTCCCCACTCCATCTGCAGAGGCGTGTTCTCTGCCCTTGCGGGTGTCTGCCCAGTCACAGTGTCCGTAGGCAGAGGCCTGTTCTGTCCTTGATGGCTTTCTCAGTCTTTAGGAGCCTAGAACAAGCCCTTCCTCCGGGAGGCTTTTCTTCTGAGAGTCCTGACCACCCGCTGGGACACCGTGGGGGCGTGGGGGGCCTGCGTCAATTCTGCCATGTGCCCGGGAGGGCCTGCTCTTTGTTGAGGCCTCCGTGAGTCTGCAGAGCTCAGTCTGAGAGACCGAGTGCCTCCCGTGAGACCGGTTCCTTGTAACTTGGCATTCCTGTCAATGCGTCGTTCCCGGGACTCCTGCGTGTAGTGATTTGCTGCTGATGCATAGAGCGCAGCTAGCTGTTATGTATTAATCCGGGGGCGGCGGGGGGGGGGGGGGGGGCTCTAGTTACGTTGCCAAACCTGGATTTTGTTGAGGTTTCCTGCAGGGACGATGGTTTCCTCATTAGTCTTTTTGCTCATTCTTACCGGGTGGTTTCCTTCGGGAAACGAGGGTGTGATTTTTCTCTTTACTTTGTTCACATGGGGAATGAACTGAGCCCAGGTGTCCCTCTCTGCTCATGGCCGTGAAGCTGTGCAGCAGCCCCTTCCTCGGGCTCTGGTGGGACTGGGGCGGCCGCGTGGGTCGCCGTGGCTGGTCGCTCTCGGGGTCACAGAGAAGGTGCTTGGGCGCCAGGTGAGCCAGAGTCTTGATAGGAGAGAAAAGCTGTCGCTTTTCCTGACGGGACTCCTGTGCACTTTGAACAGGTGTGACTGGAACCGCTATAACATCCAGTACGCTCTGGCTGTGTCCAAGCAGCGGGGCCTGAAACGCCCCTCAGAACCGCTGGGAAGCGACGAGGAAGCAAACGCGTCCGATGACGACACTCTGCATCTGCTCGGCACAGGACAGGGGGACGGGGATGGGCAGCTGATGTAGGGCCGGCCACGTTCCCAACCCTCCTTGTTTTGGTTAAGACCCCCGAAGAGACGGAGCCCCGTGGCCTGGGCCCGGGAAGCGAGTGGGAGGGTGGTGCAGAGACAGCGACTTCCTGTAGGCGCCAAACACGGCTGCAGCGCCGGGGCCGGTCGCCTGCTCCCGGGCCAGCACCGGCTTGGCACTCGGCCCGGGGCCCACGTGGTGTGGGCCGAATGAACGCTGCTCGTCTACTGTTGGAAACGCTTCTCTGGAGAGGTGAATGGGATCGTTTTTATAGACTGGAACTTTGTGTGACCGATATTTATATGTTTTACAGTTTTGATGATAGATTTAGAGATGAAAAAATGAGGTTTTCTACGATAAAAGTATGGATTAAATCAACTCTGAATTGAAAGTGTTTATACTGTATCCTGGGTCATGCAGAGAGATTGGGGCCACCTGCCTGTTGGCCTCTCTGTGCTGGGGGGATGAGTGAGCAGGGCTGCTGGAATGCTCACCACGTCCCAGCCTGCATGGCCCCCAGCCCTGGCCGCCTGCCCCCGGAGTCTCTGTGCACTCTGACCTTGGAGGGGGACGCCCAGGGATCCCTGGGGCTGGGACTGGACAGTGCTCTCAGGGAGCTCACTCAGACCTCTGGTGCCAGCTCTGCAGGGCCACATGGAGGAGACTAGCTGCTCTTTCCTGCCAGGCCCCGTCCCTGGTCCCTGGGGCTCTGTGGAGACCGCCTCCATCCAGGAGCAGGAAAATGAAAATGCGGCCCAGCTGGGTATAGCACTTTCCCTACAGCGGGAGGGCACAGCATCCACTGGGTCCCAGCCTGGGGCTCCCCAGAGGTGCTGCCCAGCTCCCCAGGTGGCCTGTGCCAGGAGCTGCTGCCCACGCCCGCTCCTGGGGCTCTTGTGACGGGGGCTGTGCACCCATGGTGTGTGTGCTCGGGCCCCTGCTGCCACCAGGGGTCTGTGCTCACAGCTCCTCCTTGCAGCTCAGGCTGCAACACTGTCGGGTCTAACCAGCTCCTCGCCTCTGCCTTTTTGGTAAGTTCACGTGTGCGCATTGATGTGAAAGTTCACAAAAGGACTCTCCTTCCGAGCGGAGTCTGGAGGCCAGCAGGGGGAGCCCTCAGGCCTGTCCCTCCCCTGCACCTGCAGACCCAGCTGAGGAAGGAAGGTTTCCTCCTCTCCCAGGGGCAGCCCGGTCAGTGAGAGGCCACTCCACTTCCAGCTCCCAGTTTACTCCAATGGACTGTTTTTACAACAACCCCACGCCCCCTTTCCTCTATAAAAGGGCCTCCTCTGCTCTGTTCTCCTGACTTGCCTATGGTTTAAGTTTTCCTGCAGGCTCCTTTTCATGGGCTGCAATTCTCTGCTGTTTTCCAGTGAACACATTCTTGTTGGTAAAACTGTCAGTGTTATTTGTAAGGTTAAAGTGCAGCTGAGCAGCCCCTGGAGGTGCAGACAATTGGGAGGTGGGGGCTCTGCAGGTCCCGGAGCTGTGGCCAGCCTCCTACCTGCTCAAGGCCTGGCAGGAGCAGCGCCTGCCATGGGGCTTGCTAGAGAGGCAGGCTCTTGGCTCCCAGACCGGCTGACTCAGAATGTGTATCTAGCATTACCTTCCTGAAAGTGGAGCGGACTAGCAGGCTAGCATCATCCTCGTAATCCCGTCCCTCCTGCCAGCTCATGTTCTGGACGTGACCCTGAGGGGAGAGATGGATGGACGGGCTGGCCCCCAGGAGCCGTGAGAAGCCAGGATCCCCACGGGAGAATTCCCAGCTGCGGGGAAAGGAGGGAGGATGGCTCTCCTGGGTCCAGAAGAATTGGGTCCGTCTGTAGAGATGGGTCTGGGATGAAGGTTCAGGAATAAAGACCGTGACTGTTCCAAGCTCATCTTCGGTTCCAACTTTTATAATATCCCGTGTTATTCTAGCTCCCCAGGAGGATCTCTGTGCAGAGATTAACCCTAGAAGTCTTAAAAATGCAACAGTTTCGGGCGCCTGGGTGGCTCAGTCGGTTAAGCGACTGCCTTCGGCTCAGGTCATGATCCTGGAGTCCCGGGATCGAGTCCCGCATCGGGCTCCCTGCTCGGCGGGGGGTCTGCTTCTCCCTCTGACCTTCCTCCTTCTCATGCTCTCTGTCTCTCATTCTCTCTCTCAAATAAACAAATAAAATCTTTAAAAAAAAAAAAGGAACAGTTTCAATATCAGTGACAGGGACAGCCTTGCGTTGAACTGCCCAGTGTGTCTGCAGTTCCCCAGTGGCCTCCAACGGGGACCATTTAAATGATCTGGACCAGCTGTTGAGTTTGAAAATTGATAGGTTAAAGGAGAGTATAATAATTTATGCAGTCGTCTCCCGCGAACTGACTCCTGGGTAACACCTGGAGGTTTTCAGCGGAGGAACCCCAGCTAGTGCCTGAAGGAACCCTCCCGTCCCCCGTCAGCAGTGACTTAGTTCAGGAAGGCCGGCTGCGCATGGGGCAGCGCGCGCCGCCAGCGGAGAGCAGAGCGCGTCGGGGGGGGAGGGGGCGGGCGACTTGCGCAGGCGCGGCCCCGCCCACCGGCGGGTTCGCCGGAACTGCGGCCAGGCCGACTGCGCAGGCGCGGAGCCCGCTGGTTCCGCGCGGGGCTCTGTGACCGCGTGACCCTGCGGCCCGCTGTCCCCGCGCAGTCATGGCGGCGGTCAGGGCCCTGGTGGCGTCCAGGCCACTGGCGTCCTCCGCGTTCGCGCCGCTTCATGCGTGCAGCCCACGCGCGCCCCTCCACCGGTCCGCGCCGCGCCCGGGGGCCAGGGTCGCGCTAGTAAGTGGACGCCTGGGGCGGGGCTGCCGCCGAGGTCGGGCCCCTGCCCTCCCCCAGGCCGGCCCCCTACCACCCTCACCACCCTAACCACCCCGCCCGAGGGCGAGCTCAAGTCACCCCCGCCGCCAGGTCGGGTCCCCGTGCCCCCAGCCCTGCGCCCGGGCTGGTCCGTTCACCCCCAGCCCCACCCCTGCCCAAGGTCAGAGCCTGCTCCCCGCCAACCCTCCGAGGCCAGCGCCCTTCTCCGCCCCCGGCCCCGGCCAGCTGCCCCAGCCGGACCCCCCTTGGCCCCCGCTCCCCTGCAGGTGCTGTCTGGTTGCGGAGTCTACGATGGGACCGAGCTCCACGAGGCCTCCGCGTAAGCCGTGAAGGACCGTTTGCTTTTCCCCAGCCGTTGGGAGACCCTTTGATTAGACGGGCAGAAGCGAGCGAGCGGGGAGCACTGGGGTCACTTGTGTGCGGCTAAGTACCTTCCGCGGCCTTGTCCCCCAGAGATAACCGCTGAGCCCGTCTGGTGCTCTGTTAACGCCCGCCTGCTCACTCTGAAGTCCCGGGCAGGCGTCCACATTCTCATTCGTGGCTCCAGTGTGATTTTAAGGCGCTGAGCCGCCCCGGGCTGTAGACAGGTTTTTCCATGTGGCCTGTCAGTTGTTGCTAAGTCGTTTGTACTGTTTTTGTATTTTATTAAGACAGGTTTGTGTGAGCAGGGGTGGTAGTGTTGTCCTGTCTGGAGTAGGTTGGAGGGCGAGTCAGCGCTTGGTTGGGGAGCATGCCCCTCCCAAGTGCAGGGCTGCAGGGTGTCCAGAGGGGCCCGAGGCCCCTCCCTAGCCTGCGGCTTCCCTCGGGTGCCAGCACGGGCACTGGGCATGCAGCGGACTTTGGAGTGTGCCGAGCTCGTGGGCGGGAGAGGGCCAGGAGAGCTTCCAGATGGGGGCTCGGGGCGGGGGCACGAGAACGCAGAGGCACGGGGTGGCGGGCGGACAGCATGGGCACGGACCACGTGTGGAGAGCCCTGCAGGTTACGAGGAGCAAAGCCTGAGTGCCAGGGTGGTGCTGGTCCTACCCGCTCATGCCCCTCACGCCGCCGCCTCTGAAGGGGGACGGTGAGAGCCCCGGCTCTAGAACAGATGTGGACGTGTGCCTGGCACAGAGCAGCCCTTGGGGAGACCTGCACATCTCTCCCCCGGCCCTCTGGCTGTGACGGGAAAGGTGGGACAGAGCAGGACTTGAACCTCCTGTCCTGACCAAAGCCCGACTCAGATCCTCCAGCCCTGCACTGATTGGCCTATGGGAAGAAGAGCACCACGAAGCAGCCTGGGAACTTAGACGTCCAGGCTGTGACCAGTCAAGTCACCTGTTCCCTGCACCCCAGTTTGTAAAGGGAGCTTGGGGACCAGCTGGGCTCTGCAGGCTAGTTCAGTGACAGCGAATCTGGATTGTGGATGTTTGGGTCACTGGCAAGCCAACCGCAGCTTTCTGTAAAGCTGATGTGATGGTAACGTACCTAAGGGGTGGATGGGGGGCACTCTGCAGAAGTCCTGCTCACAGAAGCGAGGTGGTAGCGCCGGGTTGGGTAGGTCTCAGCCTGTCTGATTTTCTTCCGTGCAGGGTGCTGGTTCACCTGAGTCGTGGCGGGGCCGAGGTCCAGATCTTTGCTCCTGACATCCCTCAGATGCACGTGGTTGACCACGCCAAGGGGCAGCCTTCTGAGAGCGAAACCAGGTTGGGTCCTGCCCCTCTCGCCCTGGAGTGTGGACCAGTGCCTGCTAGAAGCTCCCTGAGAACCTGTGTGCTTGGTTGCGTTGTCCTGACTGCGGATCTGGCTGCATTCCGGGCTGTTCTGATGTTCTTGTTGCCTTCTAATGCCTACCACAAGTCGTCCTGCCTGTGTTTCGTGACCACCTGCTGGGCGGCTCGGCTGGGACTGCTGCCTCCTGCCCCTGCTTGGGCCCCGATCTCTCTGGATCTCTCTGAGCGTTTCTCTCCCTGAGGCACATGCAGTCTTGGCACACTCTCGCCCCTCCCGTCTTGCTCCGGCCGCAGGGTCCAGCCAGGGAGAGCTCTGTCTCCTGGGAGCTGCAGGGCCTCCGCTGGCCCGGGCTTTGTCTTCCTGCCCGGGCCCCGGGCCACGCAGCCTGGACGAGGTAGTGCCAGCTGTGGTTGACCCCGGGTTGCCTCCCTCCCCCCGTGCGGTACCTGGACCTTCCCACCCCCGTCCTGTCTTTCGTCAGTGCCCAGGACTAAGTGCTGCAGATGCGAGGGGCTAGACCGTCTTTCCTGGGCCCCGACCTTCAGCGCACGTGCCCGTGCCTTCCCTGGGGCGGAGGACGTGTGTTCTGCTCGTGCGGTGGCCTCCGTGCGCCCCGCTCTGCTCTCTGCACGCTGACGCGGTCCTCAGGCCTCTCTGTGTCCTCTCCCAGGAACGTCCTGACGGAGTCCGCGAGGATCGCGCGCGGGAAGATCACCGACCTGGCCAGGCTCAGCGCAGCCAATCATGATGCTGCCATTTTCCCCGGAGGCTTCGGAGCTGCCAAAAACTTGTGCGTGCTGGAGCTCTGGGGTCTCTGCTTTTCACCTGTAGCGGGAGACGGGGACGGGGGCCTGGGGTCCCAGAGGCTGCACGGAGCTGCGCTGTGACAGGACACCGCTGTGGGATGGGGCTCAGGTGGAACTTAAGCAAGACCTGGATTTTTGTCTCACTTCTTGCTGAGTGCTCTCGGTACCGGCCACTCTTGGGGGGCCGTGGGCTTCCACTCATCTCACCGCTGTGCTGGCGGTCTTGTCACATCAGGACCCGCGTGTCCGCACGTGTTTCTCGCGGACACTGCCTCTTCGTGGGCCTTGCAGCAGGGAAACCGCTTTTCTGGTGGGCCGTGTGGAGGCTGGCCCCGACCGGAGGAAGGGAGTCCTTCCTTGTTTTGTTCTCTGGGTCGTTGCCATGGTAGCTGGACCTCAAGCTGTCACCCCACCGGCGTGACGTCCTTTGGGTTTCAGGTCCTCTTTCTGTTCTCATTTCTCTGCCTCTTGTTTCTGCCCCCCTCATAGAAATCATCTGCGCGGGCCTCACCAGCCCGGCACATCCCTTCTGAGGCGGCTTCACCGTAGCTGGCTTGGGAAGACAGGAAGCAGCTGTGCCCCACGCTTTGGGGTTCAGACGTGGACCCTAGTGGAGTAACAGCCTGGACTGGGTGGGTTTCGATGGAAACCCAGCAGATCAGCAGATTGGGCTCCAAGTGGAGCGTTTTCCTTTTTCTCGGATGAGCCCGCTGCTCTGGCCCATGCCCAGGGGCCCCTGACGGAGTGGCTGGCTGCGAGCTCAGGCAGCCAGCCCCAGCCCTCCGCCTCCCTGCTCCCGCCCCTCCCCTCCCAGATCAAGTGGGTGCCGGGTGCCGCCTGCACCCTCACCGCACAGCCTCGGCCAGCGCGTACCCCTTGGGTTTCCTTGCTGTGCTGTCTGGGTGTCCTCGAAGGTCTCTGCTCACCACTGCCTCCTGGGATGGGCTCCTGTTCTCCCTCTTCTCCTCCCCGCTCTCGAGTTCTCTGTGAGCATCGTGGGAACTGGCCAGGCCCTCTTTCCAGCTGCTCCTTCGTGGAGTCTCCCCTCCTGCCCCGGCACCCCTCTCTCACCTCCCAGGAGTTTCGTCTGTATCTGGACCATGGACGTTCGCCCTTACTGGCCTGTGTGGCCAGCTGCCTGCCCAAGACTCGCAGCAGAATGTCCCTTCGATGGTCAGAGCTGCTTCCCCTAACCTGGACCGTCGTCCGTCAACTCTGCCTCCCTGTGGACTCCTTGTGTGTCGGGCGTGGGGTGGGGCAGGGTTTGAGCCAGACGCCTTGGACCCTTGTGCTCACTGCCCCCCACCCCCGTTTGGGTTAGTTGATGGGTGCTGTTCCCCTGCAACAGCGTCCTGGCTGGCTGTGTCTGGGTGCCCTGCACCCAGAAGTGGGGCAGGGCAGGCTCCCTAACGTGTTCTGACACCTCGTGGCTCCCCTCGGCCTGCGGACATCTGAACGGCTTTGTCCAGATCCCAACCCCATGTCCCCAGGCCCTGGAAGCGGTTCCCATACTCCTTCATCCTGCTGGGAGCCCTGCCTTCCCCTCACGTCCACTTTGTCTTGCAAGAACCAGCCTGTCGGGCGAGCTTCCCTTGTCACTGCCTCCTTCCCGCGCCCCTTGGCAGCGGATGGCAGAGAATGGCCTCTGTTGGCTGGGCTCGATGCTGCCAGGACCAGGCTCTCTTCCTCGGGAAGATAAGCCTTGTCTCTGACCGTGAGCACTTACTTCCCCTGGGGGGAGGGCACTTCAGGGATCTGCTGGGCTGTGTCCGTGGCACAGATGACCACCCACGCGCGGTTGGCGTGGAAGCACAGCTAGGAGGGGTGCCGGGTTGTTGGCGGGTCTTTGCATTCGAGGGAGTGGTCGCCTTGGTGATCAGCGCTCGTTTCTGTGAGCTCAGTCTTCCTTGGGGGAAGCTGTGGCTTATGGTCGCTTGCCCCATTCCTCCCGACCTTTCCAGAAGACAGGCCGGCTCGCTGTGATTGGTCTCCTTAGCCGAGGCTACTGTGGCTATTGGTCGTGCCGTGTGCACGCAGCAAGGGACGGCAGGCGAGTTCGCTGGGGACAAGCTCCCAGTGGGAACTCGCTCTCTCCTGTCTGGGGCCTCAGGCTTGTCCCTGCACTGTTTCCCCCTTTCACATGTGCTTCCCAAGAGATTCCCGTGTGGTTGTATTAAATATCTAGCCAGGGCGTCTGACTGGTGCAGTTGGTTGAGTGTCCATCTCTTGATTTCAGCTCAGGTTGTGATCTCAGGGTCGTGAGATGGAGCTCCACGTCGGGCTCCGTGCTCACTGGGAGTCTGCTTGAGATTCTCTCTCTCCCTCTCCCTCTGTCCCTCCCCTCTGTGCGCGTTCTTGCTCTTGTGAGATAAATCTTTTTTTTAAAAAAAGAGAAGTCTAACCAGATGGAGGCCCGTTAAGCTTATCGTTCTGTATTTTGTGTTTTTCACAAATGGTGTGGCTTGTTGGTGGCCCATTAACCACCTCACGGCTGCACACGCAGATCCCGTTGGGTAGACGACCCAGCTCTGATGGGCAGTGGTGGTTTCCAGTTCTCACTTTTGGCCTGACAGCTTTTGGGGGATATAGTTGACTTGCATCGAGAGGGTTTGGCCGTGCGGCACACCCTGAGACCGCCGCAGGTTGGCAGAGTTGCGTGGTGCCCACGTGTCTCCCAGGCCTTTGCCCGCGACACTGCAGTAGTCGGCCCAGGACGGAGGCGTCCACACGTGCCCAGAGCAGAGGGCCAGAGCGGGGCTCTGCATAAAGCATGTGTACTTTGGGGTTGCCTCCCAGGGAGGTGCCGGCGCGTAGCCGGTGGGAGGGGAGGCCGTCCAGACCGCTGAGCTGTCCTCGCTGTGCTGAGGGAAGCGGTGTCTCTAACTGCATCATTTCCTCCTCCGTGGATTACCTGTCACGGCTTTTAGGCCCGTGGCGTGTCTTGCTGTCCCTTAGCTTATGGAGCAGACCTCTGATGACCCCTTGGGTGTGGCCCACTGCCCGCACACCTGCCGGCTTTGGTTCGCTCGGGGATCGGCTTCCCCACCTCCCCTCTCCGCTGCCCCTTTTTCTGCTGTGCTTGCTTCTTTCTGTTTTAAAAAGTAGAAAAAATTGTATATATAATTAAGTGAAAAACCACGCACATGCACAGTAACTGCAGGTCTCAGGTGCCGGGGAGTTAGTGGAGCGATGGGTGCGTGTCCAGGGTGGGGTTGGAGGCTCCCCGGGCACATAGACCCCCAGCTGTGAGATCTGAGGACGCCTCTTCTCGTGGTAGGAGCACGTTCGCCGTCGACGGGAAAGACTGCAAAGTCCATGAGGACGTGGAGCGGGTCCTGAAGGAGTTCCACAAGGCCGGCAAGCCCATTGGGTATGTTGGGGCGGGGGGGGCCGCGTGGGCTCAAGGCTGTTTTCACTCGGGCTTCACGCGCCATCACAGGTGCCTCCGGCTTGGAAAACTCTGTGTGGTCACGGCAATTTGTCCTGGTGACTTAAGAGGAAGGAGAGCTTCCAGAAGGCTCCCCGGTCAGTCCTCCCCTGACCCCAGCCTTTTCCAGCACCCCTTCCCCTCGCCTGGCGTCTGCCTGCCCGTCCTCGCTCGGGCTGGGCTGGTGCCCGGTGGCCCTCAGGCCGTTGCCGCTGCCCTCCGAGGGCGGCGAGCCCGCTGTGCGCCCAGACTCAGCGGCACGGCCTCCACTCACCAGGCCCGAGCTCGTCACCCGCGGCCTGCACCGACCTCCCAGCGGTTGTCCCCGCTCCCGCACTAACGCGTGGGTTGCTCGTCCACGTGAATGCACTGCGGCGTGCAGATGGCTCGGCTTGGGCCTGCTGGTTCGAGAAGCCCCCTCGGGAGCTCTGCTCTGCTCCACGCACCGGAGACAGTGGGGTGCGGACGTGGGAGCACGCCAGCCTCCCGACGGCTGTGTGAGCAGGGTCGTGTTAGGACGGTCCCTGCGAAGGTCACTCACCAGCGCTCGTGCGCAGTCACTGTGCGGGAGCCCCCTCCTCGCGGAAGGCGCCGGCCTCGGCCCCACGGGCTGGGAGCACGTCTGCTCGGAAGACGCCGCGCTGCCCGGGGAGCGGTCACGGCGCCGCCACCGGCCTCCCCTCGCCGGACGCTGGCCCTGGAGCAGCACCCATTATGTGGGCGGGCGTCAAGGAGGACCCGGTGTTGGAAGCACAGGTGGGAGCGAGGGGTCTGGTGACTGCTGCCGTGCTCGTGTGTCCCCTGAGCTCGGGCCTCCCCGTCTGCGGCCCGAGAGCAGGGCCGATGGCCGCGGCGCCGTTCGCGTGCGTCCCGTGCCGGCTGCCAGGTGTCTGCGGGCTTGTGATGTGGGGCACTTCAGAGACGCCGGGTCCGATCACTTTTTACCTACTTGGCGGAGGGAGGTTTGCTCCCACGGGTTTCCAAGCACGTTGTTTTGGGTGTTGTGAAGTTTGAAAAAGGATGTAAGTGTGTCCTGACATTGTTTTCTCACGGCTCGTGGAGCAGCGTGGCCGCAGAGCCGTTCCGGCGGGCGCGGGAGAAGCAGGCAGGCGTGCTGGAGATGAGCCGGGGCAGCGGGCTGCTGGCAGCGTGCGTGCGACTGGGGGAGGGCAGGGCGGCCCGGCTGCAGCCGTGTGCCCAGCACGTACCGCCTGCCGCGGGCGGGGCCCCGGCGCAGGGTCTGATGCTGCCGGTCAGCAGGGCCTGCTGGCGGGAGCAGAGCCTCGTAGGAGCCCCGAGGGCAAGCGCCGGCCACACGGCCCCGCACGCACGCCCAGGAGCGAACCGCGAGGCTCAGGCGCCTTGGGAATGGCCCGTGTGGGTGTCGTGGGGCTTGGTGCTCTCCTGGGAGGGGGCCCTTCGCTCCTGTGGTGCCCGGCACACCCACGGGTCCCATGAGACCGCTCTTGCACTCTCTCCAGAGAAGTCCGGGCCCTGGGGTTAGCTCTTGCTGTGTGGAAAGCCACCCCGAAACTCGGGCCTAAGTGCCCTGTTGCCATCCGAGCCCTTCTCTGCGCACAGCACGGTGGGTGGCCCGGTGCCCGCTGGCCCCCTGCTCCGTGGCCAGGCCTGACCCCCGGGCGCCCAGAGCCTGCAGCACATGCGGGGAGTGAGCTGAGGCCCACTCCTCACTCCGTGGGCTCGGCGGCTACCGTCTGTGCTCATCCTCAAGGTCAATTCCGTTCCTTCAGTATTCCCTGCTGCGCCCCGGGCCCGGCGGCCACCCGTGCTCCCCTGAGCCGACCCCCGTGCCGACCCTGTCCCTCGCTTTCCAGCCTGTGCTGCATTGCTCCCGTCCTGGCGGCCAGAGTGCTCCGTGGGGTCGAGGTCACCGTGGGCCACGAGCAGGAAGAAGGCGGCAAGTGGCCCTACGCAGGGACTGCGGAAGCCATCAAGGCCCTGGGCGCCAAGCACTGTGCGAAGGGAGTGACCATATCCTTTCCGGCAGCCAGCGTGGCAGTGGCGTGTGGTGCTGGGGACCCCTCCTCTGACCCTTGGCGACTGCCCGGACAGGCAGCCTCTTGAACTAGGACTGCGCTGTTGGGGGCCTCTGCGAGCAGGTGTGTGACGGGCCTGGCACCCAGTGCCATGACGCCCCGGTCCCCAGGCCGTTTCCAAGTTGGCCCCGGGGACGCTTGCTGTGTGTAGCACACCCCAGGCCTGGAGCTCTGCTGGGCTGCCTGGTCCGGCGAGTGGACGGCTTCAGGCTCGATGGGGACGAGTTTCTGGCGGGAGGGGAGGAGCACGCGCCCCAGGGTGGGGGGAAGCTACAGAGGGAAGAAGTACGGGGCGGGGGTGGCTAGGCTGGAAGCCCTGGGCGGTGTGGTGGGTAGCCATCCCCAGTGGCCTTGTTGGCCCCTGATCGTCCTGCAGGTGCCCAAGTGCCGTGCGCTCAGAGCCTCGGGCCACCGGCTGACCACGTTCTGGGTCCACAGCTGGACCCAGACTCTCCACGTGGGCCAGAGGTGAGGCGCGGAGGGTGCGGGAGACAACACCAGGACCCTCTGGGTGTCTGTCTCGAAGGTGCCTTTCTCTTCTCGTGCACAGTTTCGGGCGAAGGGTTCCCTCTCCCTCCTGCGCGGAGTGGCCGGCAGGGCCAGGCCTGTCATTGTCTGGGGTCTGGGTGACCAGGACAGGAGCGCAGCTTGTGTAGAGGGGGGTCCCGGGTTGGGTTGCCCCTTGCCGTGGACGAGCGCTCTGGTTTAGTTTCTTGATCGGAAGAACAGAGCTGCTTTCGCCCACTCCAGGGTTGCTGTGGGGCCCAGGCTGGCGCTCGTGTGCGTGCAGCCCAGGTCTGTGGGTGCGTCTGGGTCCCGTGGGCTGGGCTGCCCTGAGGCATCCTGTGAAGCCAGCACTCTGCTGGCTGAGGTTGGGAGGACTGCATCCCCCAGTCCCGAGTGCAGGTGGTACGGAACGGGGCCCCGTGGGCAGAGACTGCAGCGGGAGGAAGCCCCGCCGCGAGCCGCCTTGAGAAGGGGGGCGGGGGCAGGGGCCGCAGTGGACGCTTCGCGCCTGCACTCCTCTAGTCCTTGCTGGGTGACGTTTTCCCATAACTTCCGTGCACGAAGCTCACGTGGACCAGAAAAACAAGGTGGTCACGACCCCGGCCTTCATGTGCGAGACGGAGCTTCACCACATCCACGACGGGATCGGGGCCATGGTGAAGAAGGTGCTGGAACTCTGTGGAAAGTGACCGTGCCGCGAGCCCTGCGGCCTCCACCAGGGGGAGCTGGTGGCCTGTTTTCCCCGTGGCTTCGCTTTTCCTTCTATAGGTATCTTCTGCCCGAGGAGGCGTCCTTGGGGCCAGGGATGGGTCGGTGTGCAGCATTCCGTTCACACCGCGGAGGCTGGACCCTTTCTGTGGCCTGAGATCGAAGTGGGACCTGCTCTTTCAGAGAGAGAATTGGGAGACACGTCTCCCCACTGCCTCACGTTTGGCTGGCCTTAGGATACGTGGTGTTTGGGAGGAAAGAATTTTTTTGAGTTTACGAATCTAGTAGTTAGGAAATTGAATTATCATACTCATTGGTAATTGAAAGTTCTCTGGTCTGGAGTAAATATGTACTAAAACGGGAAGGGGGTTGCATTGAGGCCGGGGAGAATAAAGTGCTTTCCAGACGGACACTCTGCCGGCGTCTGAAGCTGGTGTGTGAGGCGCGTGAGTGAGGTTTCTTGCTTTCCGGGAAGGAAGGACGCTGTGGACGCTCAGCCTGTGTGGTCAGCCTGCTGGGAAGGGGCTGTCGGGTTGGTCCCAGGCCACGAGCAACAGCCGATGGGAGCTGATAAAGCAGCAGCACCGGCTGGTGGCCCGCGCCGTGGGTGTGCTTCTGTGTGGGGAGAGAGACGTCTCGGGCCGCGGCCTGAGTGTGGCGTGGGCTTCATCCGCTGTAGCACGTTCCCCTCCAGCCCGTGTCCTGTGCCCCTGGGGACGTCCCCACACGCAGCTGCCGGGGTCCACGTAGTGGGCCGTTTAGTTTGGGCCTGGGGACGGGGCACAGAGGCCCAGGCCCCCCACCCCTGCTGCTGTGAGGGGTAAGTGATGATGAGCCTCCTGGTTTTCGGGCCTGTGGGCGGGGCAGTAACGCCTGATGCCGTGCCGCCCGGCCCCCTGGCCCACCTGCCGTCTGGGTCAGCTGGCCTCGACATGTCTGACCTCCCACGGGAACTCTATTCTCTGGGGGCCTGCCTATCCCCCCCTGCAGCAGGAGCCCCCTCGGCCCACCTGCGGACGCCAGGATCGCCCTTGCTCTGGGCAGCCTCCCAGGGCCCGCCGGAGGTCAGGTCACTGAGGATAACTGTCTCCTTCCTACGAAACTTGTCTGTCGAAACCCTTTGTGTGTGTGTGCGTGCGTAGGGAAGAGCGCCTGGGCCCCAGGCGTGCAGCTCGGGGAGGCGTCACAGCAAGCACAGCTGGGGCCAGAGAGCAGAGGGTCTTCCCGCCCCTACCAGGCCCGAGCGCTCTCGGCTCCGGGCACGGGGAGCCCTTGCTGTGTGGCTTTCCTCTGTGCACGAGTTCTCCCCAGTGGGTCTCTCCACGGGCTTTCCCATGTCACGCGAGCACTGCCTTTGAGAACGTTCTTGTACGTGCTGGGGTGTGTTTCCGGGCACGTCGGGTGTTACGTCCCGGTGTGGGCTTCTGGGCTGTAGGGTGTTCGAGCTTGGCTTTCGTGAACAAGGGGCTGCAGTGCGCGAGCTCCCCAGCCACCCCCGGCCACTGGGGCGCTTGGGCCTGGCGGGTCTTCCGCGTGTCCTGAAGGCCACCCCGCAGGTGTGGATGGTGTGGCCCTGGGTTTTCCCTGGTGGCTCCCTGATGTCTGCTGTCTCCGATCACCTTTTTGTCGATTTTTTCTGCCTTTTGGCGGTCTGCTTTGCTGAAGCACGTGCTCGGGTTCTTACTCGTTATTGGAGCTACGTGTGCGCTTCTGGTTACGTGTCCTCTGTCAGGTACGTGGGTCATGCGTGTTTTCTTCCGTTGGCCTTTCTTCTTCAAGGGGGCCTCGATGAGCACATCCTCCTGGCTTTTGTGTAGGCCCGTCCATGGCCCTTTCTGGTGTGTGGTGTTCTGTCGAAGATAACTTTCCTTCCGGGTCAGGGAGGCCTTCCCCGTGTTCTCTGTTGTCTGCCCTCCACCTTCACGTCACTAGTTCATCTGGAAGCTGCGGTGATGAACCCATCTGCCCTGCAGTTTGATTTCTTCTGGAAACGCCAGGGGACGTGCCCCCGGAGCAGAGCGGCGGTGTTCAGCGGCCCAGGAGCTGTCCCCGTGTGGCCGTGCGCCCTCGGGAAGCGGGCCCGGGGCAAGGGCAACCACTGGCACCGCCCAGAGCCTGCACCCGCCCCCGCTCTCTCGGGGGTCTCCGCAGGGGCACGGGTGATCTCAGGCGCTGTGGGGCGCAGAGCACCTGACGGCAGAGCTGCGCTGGGGAAATGGCAGGCTGACTGGGTCCCCCCTCTTCCTGCGCTTCCCGGGAAGGGTGGGTGAGCAGAGAGGGAAGGGGGGGAAGCAAGGACAAGTCCCACAGGAATGCTCGGTGATGGGGTGGGTTCGCGCCGTTCTGTGTGCGGGCCGTCGTTGTCCATCCTGTAGCTTTTCAAGAAGATGAAGTGTCTGATCGCCCAGTTTGGAAGGGTGATGTGCCTGGTGTCCGTGACAAGACCGTGGACAGAGGTCCCTGGAAACTTGTTGACACGGAGGCTGGGCCGAGGAGCATGCTTCTGTCCTCTGAAAGAGATCGTAGAGAATTAGTATAATTTCTTTCTTACATATTTGGTAGAATTCACCAGTGAACCCATCTGGGCCTGGTATTTTCTGTTCTGAAAGGTTATTAATTATTGACTCAATTTTTCTTTAATAGATATAGGCCTCTTCATGTGTCTTTTAAGGAACAGGTCCATTTCAGCCAAGTTACCAAATACATGGGCATCGAGTTGTTCATAGTATTTGTTTATTATCCTTTCACTGTCTATGGATCTGTACTGGTTTTTCTCAGAGTCAACTTTTGGTCTCATTGATTTTTTTTTTTTTATTTCATTCATTTTTGCTCTGATTTTTATTATATGTTATTTTTGTTTGCTTGCTTTGGATTTATAATATGTTTTCCTTTTCCAGATTTTCTAAGGTTATACATTTAGATCTTTTTTCTTTTCTAACATATGCATCTGATGCTGTAAATTTCCCTCTGAGCACTGCTTTTGCTGCATCTCACACATTTTGATTAAGTTGTATTTTGATTTTCATTTAGTTCCAAATATTTTTAAATTTCTCCTGAGACTTCTTCTTTGATCCGTGTGTTATTTAGGAGTGTGTTGTTTAATCTCCAACTATTTAGGGATTTTCCAATCACCTTTCAGTTACTGGTTTCATTCTCCTGTGGTCTGAGAGCAGACGTTGTGTGGTTTCTATTCCTTTAAATTTGTTGAGGTTTGTTTATGGCCCAGAACATGGTCTGTCTTGGTGAGTGCCCCCCGTGAGCTTGGGAGGCATTGTATCCTGTTGTTGGATGAAGTGGTCTGTGGATTCGCGTTACATCCCGTTGGTGGATGGTGGTGTTGAGTTGGATTGTGTCCTTCCTGATTTCCTGCCTCCTGGATCTGTCCTTTCCTGAGACCGCTGTGGAAGCCCTCGGCTGTAATGGTGGGTTCATCTGTTTCTCCTTGCAGTTCTGTCACCCTTTGCCTCACGTAATTGATGCTCTGTTGTTAGGTGCTTATGTGTTAAGGATTGTTACTTCTTCTTGAAGGATTGACCCTCTTGTTATTATGTAATACCGTTCTTTATCCCTGGTAACTTCCTTTGTTCTGAAGTTGCTGTGTCTGAAATTAATAAAGCAACTCCCACTTTTGATGAGCGTTAACATGGCGTATCTTCCTTTATCCACTTACTTTTAAGCTAAATGTGCCTGTATTTAAAGTGGGCTTCTCGTAGACTACATACAGTTGAGCTGTGTCTTTGATCCACTCTGATGGTCAGTCTTTCCATAGGTGCGTTTGGACCATTGACGGTCACAGTGATGACTGATACCGTTGGACTAATGTCGACCACACCCGTGACTCTTCTCTATTTGTTGCCTTTGGTCTTTGTCCTGTTTTTGTCTTCCCCTCTTTTTCTGCCTTGCATGGTTTTAATTGAGCATTTTATATGGTTCCGTTTTCTCTCCTTTTGTAGCGAATCAGCTAAACTACTTTTTCACTGGTTTTCCTTGCTGCCCTACAGCTTGCAGTACGTTTACAACTAATCCACTTCTTTCAGATAATACCGTGTCAGCTCCCAGGTGTTAGGAGTGCCTTCTGGTCACGTGGTCATCCTGATTCCTAGCTCCCCATGCCTCGTGTCCCTGCTGCCACGCACTTCCTTACCTGCAAGTCATGATCATTGACTGACGTCGTGCCTGTTATTTTGAATGAACTGCTGATAGATCAAGTAAGAATAAGAAAAGCAAGTTGTTACTTTTTCTTCACTTCTCCTTTCTTTATGTGAATCTGAGTTTCTGGCCCACGTTACTTCTCTGAGAAGAACTTCTTTTAAGCTTTCTTGCAAGGCAGGTCTGCTGGCCAGTTCCCTCAGTTTTAGTTTGAGAAAGTCTTTGTTTCTCCTTCACTTTTGAAAGACAATTTCACAGGGTGGAGAAATCTAGGTTGGTGGGTTTTTTTCCTCTCAGCACTTTTAAGTATTCACCCGGCTGTCTTCCCGCTCACATGGTGTCTCAGGAGACATTGGAAGTCATTCTTTGCTCCTCGATAAGGTGTTTTTTTCCTCCAACTTCTTTCAAGACTTTATCTTGCTCTTCTGTGGTGTGAATGTGATAGGCCTAGCTGTAGATCTTCGGCGTATCGCCTTTAACTGCTCTATGCCGAGGGCTGTTTGGACTGATCGGTCCAGCAGCCCCGCGGTGTGCTCTCTCTGCCGCACCCCTGCAGGGAGGTTGTGTGGCTGGATGTTCTCACTGGTTCTCGTCGGATCTGGAAGTGCTCCCTGGCGCCTGCCGCTTCCTCTGTGTGAGAAAGGAGTGGGCGGGCGCCGAGGGAGGACGCGCTGGCCTGGGACGGCGCTGCAGCTGTGGGAGGCGGTGCTCCCGAGACCAGGGGCAGGAGCGCCGGAGGTCCCGCCCCCAGAAGCTGGCTGGGGTGTCCGAGCTGCAGCGGTGATCACGGGGCACGAACAGCCCAGGTGGTGGACTCACAGAACCGTGAACAAATAAAATGATGTTTTAAGCCCCGAAGTTTTGGGGTAGTTTGTTACTCAGAAGAGGCAACTGATAGACCCCTGCCCAGGCTGGGCGGGAGGCCTGTCCAGCAGGCTGCCTGCGTCACGGGGTCTGTGCCTCTGGCTGAGCCCCACGGGGCTGGGTGGGACAGTTCCCGCTCATCTCGGGGCCGAGCCCCCTGCCCGGGGCCTGGTGTGACGTAAGCCCCGAGTGGGCACCTGTGGGCGGCACGAGTAAATTCACGCCAGCACTTGGGCAGCTGCCCCCGATGAGCCTTTCCTCACTAGTCTGCCCGGCAGCGGGGGCTGGGATCTGGAAGGGGGTCTGGGGAAAGCCAGCCGGTCTCGCAGGCACCTGCAGCTCCAGGTGGGTGGAGGCAGGACGTGGCTGGGGTGCGGGAGAGGCCAGTGCTCGGCGG